GGGGGGGGGGGGGGAAGGAAAAAGTGTGTAATGGGAAGACCACGAAAAGAAACTTTTCTAAGTTTTTTTTTTGTTGGTATTTTTCTTCTATGGCTTTGTCTTACAGTATATTATGGCAGGCTGGTCATTTATATTGATCCTATTTCCAGTTTGTACTGTTATAGATTCAATATGGATCTCATAATGAGCTTTATTCTCTGCTTCATATGACCTGAAAAATGTTATCAAATCTCGTATCAAATGCAACTGCTTGTGGTAGTGTCTTTCAAGAGGATGTCCAGTGTTAATTTATAAACTTCAGGGGGTGTGACCAGCCAGTGTGATTACACTGACTCCTTACCAGACCGCATATGAGGGCTCTTCAGCAGTTCAATACAGACGCTGTACTGGACAAGTTAGTTATGCAACTCAAGGAGGACTGATAAAATTAAGCAGTGCAGATGGGTTGTTTGAGCCTCTGATATCTGCTAGAGAGAGCTAAAACTGGAGCAGGGGGATTATGCCCCAGGACTTCAGTCTACATGTACTCAGGGATAGTCTTGTTCCTTGCACTGTCTTTGTTGTTGGAAGATGAAAGGATTTGGCTTGTTTGCTTTCCTTTTTGAAAACACCTTATAGTTTTGGCTTAGATTTATTTCCCTTTTGTTACAAGGTGTTCTCTTTTCAATCAGTTTTGAGCTCTTTTTAATTTTGGGTTAATAAGTTAGCACTGTTAATTTGATTCTTGATCATTCAAAGTTAGTACATAAAATAAGCCTTGGGTTTGGTAGTTTCTTGTTCACTCTGGGAAAGGAAAGCAACCAGATTATCTACCTTTCCCAATAGAAGTTTTTTAATGTTTAGCATTTGTATTTAAAAGATCTCCCCTATACAGTTACTTAACATATGGATTGCAATTGTTTCAGCCTTGGCTAGTGTGGAGAAGCAGCTTTTCCTGCTGGTCGATACATTCCAGTATTAATATCACCTGCCAAAGAACAATAGCTTTTGATATGAGTATGGGAAGAAACATTTCATTTTGCATAAGCTAGCTACACTGACCGAGGATAAAAGGATCCTTTTTATATATACAGAGTGCTCAGAACACCTGGGATCCAAAATACTACTTCTATACAGTGATGTTTAGCATTTTTGTTTAGCATTTTTATGGATTTTTCTGTGCAGTGTGTGATAACTTACAGCTGTTATGGCTGAGGTGATCTTGATGACCCAGGCAGTTGAAAACTTTCCGATGTCCAAAGTTACCTGGATGTGTCTGAGTCCCCTCTCACTGCGAAGTAACTGGACATAAAATCTTCAAAATTGTACAGGGAGATATTATATACCATATAGACTACATAGGCTGCCCATACACAGGTGCAAACATTGCTTGTAGTAAAAGGTAGAAACATAGAAAAATGTAGATGGGAAAGGACTTCTGGAGATTGAGAAGCTCAGTTTTCTTCAACTTCAAAGTTATATCAGGTTGCTTAGGGCCTTGCTGAGTCAAATTTTTTTAATTCTCCAAAGTTGCTTGGAGATGCTGTTAAACGCCATACTGTTCCAGTGCTCAACCACTCTCATGGTGATGAGTTTCCTTACATCTGTTTTGAATTTCCCTTGCAAGATCATGTGACTGTTGCCTGTTGGCCTTTTTCTGTTCTCGCCTGAGGAGAATCTGCCTCCAGTATAACACCCTGTTACATAGGTGAAGACAGTTGTGGGCTCCTTTTCTTCTCCAGACTGAACAAACCCAGCTCCCTCCTCATGTCTTTCATGTGTCAGCCCTTTTGCTATTTTAATGGCCTTCCTCTGGATGTGCTCCAGTTCGTCAGTATCTCCTGTGCTGCATGGCCCAAAACTATAAAGTACTCTAAGCGTGGCCTCACCAGCAACAAGCAGAAGGGAATAATTACTACTTTGACCTGCTGTTTCTGCTCTTGCTTATGCAGCTCAAACTATAGTTAGTTTCTATTGCTTTAAGGGTGCACTTCTGGCTTATGTTCAACTTGCTGTCTGCTAGAGTCTCCCAGTCCTTTTCTGCAGTTGTAATGCTGTATAGGGGTTTTTTTCCTTTCCAAATGCAGGACCCTTTACATTTGTCTTTGTTTATAAAGTTCTTGTTGGCCACTTCCTCCAGTTTGTTGAGGTCTCTCTGAGTGGTGGCTCTCCCTTCAACGTGTTGGTTGTTTTCCCTGTTTTATATTATATCTGTAAAGTTGCTGAGGATGCTTTCTGTCCTAGCATCCAAATCTGATGGAGATGTTGACCAGTACTGACCACTGCTTTTAACCAACTGGCAGTTAAACTTACAATTATTAACCACAACTCTTTGAACTTCATGGCCCAGGGAGTTTTTATTGTCCACCATTCAGTGTACATCTCCTCAGTCTGACAGCCAGGATGCTATGGAACACAGTGTTAAAAGCCTTGCTTAAGTCAAAGCAGCTGGCAACCACTGTTTCTGCCTGGTCCACAGAGCCACTTCTCTTCAGAAGGCAGTCAGGTTGGTTGTACATGGTTTGCCTTTAGGAGTCTAGGTTGTCTTATCCCAGTCACGTTCATGTCCATTGTGCTGGAAATAGCTTCTCTTTATGATTCATTCTACATCTTGTACAGCAAATGAGGTGAGACGACCATTATCTAGTTCCCTGGATCCTTTATCCCTCCTGCCCCCACTTTCCTTTTCTCTTGGGTTTTGTTTGTTTGTAAGTTACCTGTTCTCTGTCAAAGGCAATCACTGTGACTTTTCGAAGGTGATAGCCAGCAGCCTTTCAGTGACATCAACTAGCTTTCTCAGTACCTTGGATGTTTCCCATCTGGTCCTACAGACTTGTGTAGGTCCAGCTTACCTAAATAGTCTATAACTTGATCCTCCCTTCCTCAAGATTTGCTACTAGATGCAGGAACCTGGGAAGCCTGAGAGCACACCTTGCTGGTAAAAGACCATGCCCAAGGTGTTGGGTACCTCAGCTTTTTCTGTACCTTTCATCACTAGGTTGCTTCCTGATTTTGCAGCTGAACTACACTTTCCACAATCTGTCTTTTGCTGATGGTATACCTGTCAAGTGTATCTTCTTGCCTTTCACATCCATCTTTAACTGCAACTCCAGACAAGCTTTGGCCTCCCTAATTCAGAATCTGCTTGCCCAGACAGTGCATCTATATTCTCTTCGGGTTGCCTGTCCCTGCTTCTACTTTACATATGTTTCTATTTCGCTTGAGCTCAGTCAATGAGGAATCCCATGTACAGTCAGCTGGCCTCCTGCTGTGCCTCCTAATTTTCTTGCATGTTGGGAAGGCTTGTTTTTTTGCTCTGAGGAATGTTCAGGAAGATGGCTGGCTGTTGTGGGTTCCTTTGCAGCTTCCCAGGGCATTCTGCTTACCATTACCTGAACAAGCACCAACTCTCCTGTCATGAGTCCAATGTTTTTAGTCTGCTTCTTTCCTTCCTTTCTTGCATCAAGGTCTTATACTACCACTTTATGATTACTGCATCCAAGGCTTCTGTTGCCCATCATAAACATGAACAGTTCTTCCTTATTCATGTGTACCAGGTCTTGTACAACCCCTCCCCTAGAAGCCTGTTCAGCGCCAGCATTAAAATTTGCTCCCAGTGCATGCTAGAAATTCTCTGGCTATTTCACACCCGGCTGTGCTGCCCCTCCAGTAGATGTGTGATTTAAGTCCTCCATGAGAACAAGGGGCTCTGTATATTGGAAAGCCAGCCTAGGATGATCTGTTTTTTGTGGTAACTGAAAATAAGTTTTCCTTAACTGGTTGTCTTGAACCACAAGCTGCAAAGACATACATGGGATATTTTGATTTTATTTTGAAATTAAGTATTTAATTTTCGATTCATTTTGTATTACTACTTTAGTGCAGTTGCAAATACCAGCTCAGCTGATATCCACAGTGCAGCTGATGAGGTAAAACAACCTGGTTTTGTATAGCATGGATACTTTGCTATCCATATTTGTTCATTAACTAATGAATTTGCAAGTGATCAGAATGATGTATTTTTTTCTATATATAATTTCTAGTTTCTAATTACCCTGAGGTAGTTAATGTGCAACTACATGAAATATTGCTTCAGACTGCACTGTGGTTGTCTTGCATTCAGGCCATGCAAATAATACTTGCACCTACATATGTGCCAGAAACAACTCCTTATCTTATTTTTAAATAAGATCTTGTCCATTCATCATTATTGTATTTTGTTTCTTAGTAATTGGTGACAATTTGCTTCTTAATCTGTTTTAGTTGGAAGATGGGGAAGAAGAGCAGAGTAAAAACTCAGAAGTCAGGTACAGGAGCCACAGCAACAGTATCTCCAAAGGAAATGTTGAATCTAATTAGTGAGTTATTGCAAAGTAAGTTTCAGCTTTATGCCTCTATGGGAAAGGGGATGGTGTGGAGACCACTCACAAACATTCTCTTATTCTTTTATTGAAGCTAATGAATTCTATGCCTTTCCTTTAAGTGGCCAACTTGCTACTTCATCTTCCTTAAGATAGTATAGTATAGTATGTATCTCAGAGTATATAACACTGTCAGTATGTACCATTATTGTTTTTTTTATATTTGTATGTATTGGAAATACGGTATTGCTGGCAGCTTTTGGCTTTACATCTCAACACAGGCATAAATACTGGTCTACTCTAGGTAATGTGACATTGCAGTGTTGTCAAAAATGTTTTTCTTGTAAACCTCAAGAGCTACACTGTTTCTATTTAACTTTTGAATACTTTGAACTGGTATCAGAATGTAGGAATTAACTGTGGAAAGCAGCAATGCAACTCAGTTCGACTGCACTAATATTTTTGTCTCCCCAATAAAAATGGGTTTTTTCTTCTTGTTTGGAAACTTTTTTTGTAGTGTTTAGTTCTTGTGTATAGACCAGAGGTTGTTTCACTTGTTGAGGAAATTTGAACTCATCCATTATTTCTAGTAAATATGAAAAGCAGAGCATAATTTCATATGGTAATGCTAAAATACTGTTCGCTTTTGCTACTGTCATTAGTAACTGTGCTGAGCTAAAGTTCTTGAAGCACAAGTGTCCATATTTTCATATCCTGGACACATATAAATGTTGCCTTAGAAAAATTGGAATATTTCTTTAGCATTGCTTACAAAGAGGAGACAAGGAATTGGCAGATCAGTTTGATGCTTATGTTACAATTGGCCTCTGCTTTGCTACCAAAAATAAAACGTAGATCTAATTTTCTAAGCAAAGACATGTATCAGCTGTTCTTTTTGTCAAGCTTCCATATTTTATTCAATGCAAAGATTTTTCAAATCAGTTGAGTAAAGTAATCTTCAGCTGTCCACTTGGATTTACATGGCTTAGATCAAGAAATCCACACACTGGCATTTAGAATATTGTCAGAGACACTGTGGATGTAATCTAGAGCTAAAGCTTGGCTATAAGTGTTCCTTTGATTGTCCTTCCAGTACACATGCATCTATGAAAACACTATTGACTAGGCAGGTCAAATGTATGTACCAGCAAATTTCTCAATTGCTAAGGTAAGCTCTGTGCTATTATCATCTACTTTCATTACAGCAAGAATTATGGCAAGCAGGCTAATGTAAACAGGGTGCTTTGCTTGGATTACTGAAACTTTTTGTTTGTTTGTTTTACCTGAGGGACTATCTACTTCAGTGGTCTGGTTGTTTACCTTTTTTAGTTCCTAGCTTGTGAAACATTTAACACTTCTTATATCTGAAAGAATACAAAATAAAATAACTTGAGGTACATTATACTGTAAAAATTTCAAATATGTCTATTACATATCAAAGAATGGGATGTTTATAACAATAGAGATTACAGTGTTTACCATGTAAACATGTTTGAAGGATAAATAGTACTAAGGTTCAGTTAAAGTTACTGTTAAACTATGACTTTTTCTCTCATGTTAATATATATATACGGGCACACACTATTAAGAAAAAAATGTTTTCATTTGGCATTTTTATTTCCAGAATGCAGCAGTCCTACTCCAGGTCCTGGTAAGGAATGGGAAGAATATGTACAGATTCGTTCACTTGTTGAGAAAATTCGCAAAAAGCAAAAAGGTAAATTCAAAAACCTGTAAGAGAAGGGTGGCTCAGAGTATTGATGTGCCTAAAGAATTGTCTGTTGACAGTTAAAAGTTATATTTTTGTTGTTGTTTTATAAATATTATGCAATCCTATTATTTTGGGACAAAAATCTTAATTCTCTGACATGCAGTTGCTTCTTACACTTGCAAATGTTTCTGAAATGTTCTGGTGGGCATAACCACTGTCATTAACCATTTTAATACTTAGAATTCTGAGTCAATATCACAGTCAAATGATCATGTGATAATTCTGTCTGGTAAGTGGAAAAAAAACCTTGAGATTGTGATGACAATCCGAAGAACTAGAAGTAAAATCCTTTGAGAATAATAGGTCTTTTCAATTCCTTACTGCATAGTCTGCCCCTCTGCCTCTATAAATCTGAACATTTCAAATTTAATTTTGTAACTATTTTATTTTAACCTGAATGTTTTACTGAACATAGAAGCAGTTTCAGCAATTCAACACCATGACATTAAATTACGACAAAAATATATAAAAGCACAAAATAAACACATCAGCTAATAAATCTATCTGCTATAAATCAAGCGTAAAATTCAAGCAGACAAATGACTGTGGTACCACAGTTAATATGGAGTTTTATTGCCAGTTTTCCTAAGTTAAGGTACTATTTTTCAAATAAGAACAGTTTCCTTCCAGTGTGTTCTGCAATAGCTCACCATTGCTGATTTTTGTTTTTTAAAATTTTTTTATTTGGAGGCATGCTCTAAAAAATGCTTTCCATGTAATTTTAGTAAAATTAACTTCTTTTATGACTGCTGTATTTTAATGACAGAAAAATAACTTTTTAACATGGGAATGAATGGATTGTGGCTAGACATACCTGAAGAAGTCCTGAAACAATTCTTTCTTCTGTGATATTTATATCATGATGGCAAGAAAGCCAGACTGCATTTAAAATGGAGCTTGTTCATGTACTTGCTTGAAGAAGTACTTAGAGGCTTGAAATGTCCTTTTCACACCTGTTTTTCATAATTTTGACTAGTGCATAAGAATCTTACTCATGAAGGGACTTTTAAAACTCTGAAAATCAGTTATTGGCAGAATGCATATGGAAGAATAAATGATACTGTTTGTTTGAGTGTAGCTCTGTAGAGGTGAACTTGATTCATTGTTTTCCTGTCCCATGACTTCTATAAATGTATGGTACATGTCCTGGGTTTTATGCTGTAATACATGTGTTATGATAAAACATAATTTAGGTTAATAAGAACAGATTTAGTGTTAGGGTTGGGCTGCTCACTGTATCTTTCTTCTGCACCAGAAAGACTGAAACATTCATGGGGGAAATGTCTGCTATGGTAGAACTAGTCTAACAGTATTATTTTAACAGAACACATTTTTTCCTTGAACGATGCAAAACCTACTAACCACAGCACTGTTGACATACAAATGGCTTTTAATGTAACACTTTTACATACATAGTGAGTATGAATAGTATGGTGTCTTTCAAAACTATTATTTAATGGAACATAGTAATTTATACTACACAGTTTTCTAGCTTAATAAAGGCTTTAAACAATTAGCAAAGGAAGTATAAATTGCTTTTAGGAACTGTAAGATGTACAAATGAATATATCTTGCCTAAAGCGTCATACTATGTGCTTTTCTTGAATAGAACACTGGGTTGCTGAATGTGAACTAAAATGATCTTAATTATAGAATCTTACTTTGTAAACTGAGTATTTTTACTTTTTAAAATTTCTCCTTGTTTGACTCATTAGCAAAATTTTTAATAAATCTAATTTTTCAATATAGATTTTTATCAGTATAGCTGTATGTTGTCCAGTATAGAAATAAATTGTTCCCCAATAGCACTCGTAATTTAAAGAAGACGCTCTTCTCTTTACTTTGGAAAAATATGGGAAGTATTGACCACATGATATATGAGGAACAGAGGCAGAATTTCAGAGATGCTTACAGAAAGGTTCCAAATGCAAGCTGGATGTTAAAAGCTTCTAGTAGCCTTATACAGTAGTCAGTGTTGGAAATCAGAAGAGCAAAGTCCCAGACAGTATAAACACCTATAAAGTTCTTTAAAAGCTATGCAACTAGTCTTACTAGATTTGTGAGACCTTAGTTCTGAATCTATTCTGGGGAAAATAGCATACTGAAGGGAGTATGAAATAAAGGGAGAATGCCAACTTTAAAAAAAAAACAAAAAACAAAAAACCAAAAAAACAAAAACCAAACCTCTGTACATCACATTCTCATTGCATTGAAAAAATAGTTTATTGAATTTTTCTACTGCATCATCAAAGACTATAGCTTCAGATGCTACTTGGACTTTTATGTTAACTGCATATTTGATTGGTTCTGAGGCTTGAAATGCATGACTTGTAGTGGGAGGGAATATTACAAGTACACTAATATTACTTTCCTTAAATCCCTTTAATCTAAAGATGTATTTATCATCTGTGCTTAATCAAAATATCTTCAGATGTAAGCAACTTGCTGATGATGTGTTGTCACTCCTCAAATGGCCTGAGCATTTCATCAGTTTTTGGACATTTTTAACATGATCTGATACTAGAGTTTGGGTTGAAGAGAACACAGAGGCAAAGAAACATAAAAGATGCTGGCTGAGTAAAGCCAGGAACTATAATGCATATGTTCAAATTGGATGATGGTAAAGGGGAAAGCTGAGGAAATGAAGGAGGCTTGTGATTCCACCAAGGGACCACAAGCCTGTTGAAGCAAAGTGGAAAAAATTTGGACAAGCTCTGTGACGTCAGGAGGATCAGTCTTTAGTTATCTAAGTAGATCCATATGCTACAGAAAAAAAGCTAACTGCTTTGTATGTGAGGGAAGGAGCTTGAGATCTGCTTATTGTCATTTCCGGTGCTGAATTAATGAAATTTCAGCTTGCTTCTCAAATTCCTCCTTGTGTGTGAATGTATTAACATGTAGTGATTGCATTTATCATCAGTATTAAGCTGGGAAGTATTTTTGCTCAGCTTATTTAAAAGGGAAAGAGAAGGGGAGTTTTACATTTCATCACAGCTCAGTTTAGGTGCTTGTGTTTTTAAGATGACTGGTAAGCCAGTGTGGCAGCATATTTAAGTTGATGAAAATTGGGTATGACATTTGTATACTATTGAGTAACACTTAACAAAGACCAGTTCTGACTCAGCTACTTCAAAGCAGAACTGCTGTGGGATAACAGATAGCTTTTTACATGTGTTTTTATATTGAACTTCTTTATCTTTCTAGATCTTCTTATTTCTGCATTTGTTTTTTAATAAATTGTGTGTATAGGTTTGTCTGTTGTCTTTGATGGAAAAAGAGATGACTATTTCCCTGAATTGATAAAGTGGGCAACTGAAAATGGAGCATCCACAGAGGGTTTTGAAATAGCTAACTTTGAAGAGGAGGGGTTTGGTCTGAAAGCAACAAGAGAGATAAAGGTGAGCATGTGAATATTTGACTTAGATTAGAAAATCGTGTTTGGAATGTAGTTGCAGAGCTCTGAAACACTCACCACCTTCCCTTCCCCCTCTTGACTGCTTATGAAACTGATGCTCTGAAATACTTTCAACTCTATGTACTTAAGAAATAAAATTACTGATAAAATTTAGTGTTATTTTTGATGACTATTAGATAATACTGTGAATTTTAATCAGTCTTTTTTTTTTTCCTCTATATGGCCTATACAGTTTACCTATACACCAGAGCAATCTACCCCATTGATGTATACATCTCTTCCATGGTTTCTAACTACTTAGTCTCTTCTCTTCTTTCATGTCCCTTCTTTTAAAGCACTGGTCTTTTGCTCAGAAAGAGGTATTTGCAATACTTATTTTCGAGTGAAAATCAAAAAACCAAAATTACCTGATAATTGTAGAGTATCTTTTGATCATTAGGTAAGGAATATAGACACACACAATTAACTAACTGTTAAAGGTAGGCATTTAAGATTGCCTCTTTCCATTCCCATTTTACAGATGGGAAACAGCTTTGAAGAACAATCACCTGTTGTAGAGACAAAATTAGAAAATTATATTCTTTTTAGGGATTTAGGAGCACATAGTTAATAAGGCTAACGCTGCTGACTTGATAGAAGTCCTGAACAGTTTTTCTAAAATAGGAATGGGTAATGGGAAAAAAACCCGATTGGGAGAAAATATTTGATCACACAGTTAATAGCAATATAATATATTTGGTAGATCTGAGGTTGTGTGGGCAATCTAAATGTTAGCAGTTCCAAACTGAAGGACTTTATTTTGTAATATCTTTGTTTTAAGTTTTGTGTAATGCAGATTGGAACATCTGGTTACTGCAACATGAAACATAGCATGTTTGTTTAATTTGTAGTGGAAGAGAAAGAAGAATTTTGATTTAGAATAATTCTGATTTTAAAAAGAAAAACAAACAAACAAAAAGAACCCCTGTAATTTAAAGGTGATGTATATTTGAGACACTGGGTATATCATATAAATGCTAACTGACCCTCTATGTATTTTTTCCTTTCTGTAGGCTGAAGAGTTGTTTCTGTGGGTTCCTAGAAAACTGTTGATGACTGTTGAGTCAGCTAAAAATTCAGTATTAGGTAAGAGCTTAAGGAATTTCTTAAGCAAGAAGTTGATATGTATAGGAACATTTAATAGGAGACTTTATTTTTTTTAGCTGATCTCCTTTATTACAGGACTTGCTTATCGTGCCGACCATCAGGTTTGTAATACCTAGAAGCTTGAAGTGTCAGTGGAAAGAATTTAATTTTCCTCTTTGTTTCTGGCTGAGCACACTAGATATCTTCCAGAAGCGTGTGTGTTATTTTGAATACATATCACATAGCTTTTATAATACTTGGTGATAAAATATTCTGAGATACTGAGAGTATTGTTCTAGTTTCTTCATGTCTTCCATCATGCAATTGTACAAGGCATTTATGCTGTCAAATAACTTGCAGCATAATACAGTGTGGGCAGCTTAATATTTTAGAAACCTGAAAAGCTTTATTTTCCTTTGTTGAAAATTCTTATACATTATCTCATCATGTTCATTTAAATTAAATCTAGAATGATATTTTCCATGGACAATTAATTTAGTGCCTCACCTTTCTGGGTTAATTCAGGATCACTGTATTCTCAAGATCGAATTCTTCAAGCCATGGGCAATATAACATTGGCATTTCATCTTCTTTGTGAGCGAGCCAACCCCAACTCTTTCTGGCTGCCCTACATCCAGACACTCCCCAGTGAATATGACACTCCTCTCTATTTTGAAGAAGATGAAGTGCAGTATCTTCAGTCAACTCAGGCCATACACGATGTTTTTAGCCAATATAAAAACACAGCTCGACAGTATGCCTATTTCTACAAAGTTATTCAGGTAAGCATCTTAAATGCAATATAAAGTATGTATTGTCCTTATGATGATTATTGAGGAAGGTGTGAAAACAGTGGTGCTAAATAATAGAGCAAGTGTATTGCTCTTAAAATTTTGAATCATTGAAGTAATTTCTTGCTGGTTTTTGAACTGCTGTTAAAATTTCACAGTTCAGTAGGCTTATGAATATATAAGAATGTATTTAGTTGGTTGAGAGGAGTGATTACTGCCTGTTGTTTGGCACTGGGTGAGGCTTCATCTGGAATACTGTACAGTTTTGGGCCCACCAGTACAAGAGACATGTTGACAAACTGCAGTGAGATCAGAGGAGGGCTATTAAGATGTCATTTGCTTCAGCCCTTTATCCCTACAAGGAGAGACTGAGGGAGCTGGATTTGTTTATTATGGGTAAAAGGAGATAAGGGATGATCCAAGGGATGATCCAGTTATTATTTTCAACTTGCAACTGGTAGCCAGACTCGAGAAGTTTGCCTGTGGGAAGTTGGGGTAGGTGACCTGCAGAGATCTACAACCTATGCCTCTGTGACTCTTTGAAAAATGTATGGTTTGCAGTAAACAAAGTAAAATTATAATTGTTAATTGACATAGAATAAAACTATTGCATATGTTGTGTTTCCAGTGACTGTGGATTAACTGTTCTATTTAACATAATTAATTTGATTGCTTTCAAATGCAAAGATAAACTCATCTGGTAATGATTTGAGTATGGGGAGGCTTGAGATGGGTGAACTTTTCATCATGTTCTGAAATAATGATTTAAACTGAGTTTCTATGATAGAACTGTTACTGACTGATGTCTAGACATAATTGATGTAAGTGAATGGTGATGTGTGGTTGTCAAGGTAGTGCTCAAAATCTAAACATTCAAAGCTTTTTCTGACACAATTTGTGTAAAAAGCATATGACTCTATGTACTGAATTTCCACAATTGTGTGGTCTAGAGACAGGTCTTCTGGCCATAGGAGAGGTCAGAAGACATAAATTGATTCTATTCTTTTTTAAAGTTATCAGAGTTCCAAAGCTTTTCCATTGACTGTTTTAAATCAACAAAAGTTAAATTACTTTGCATAGCTGTTTGGTGTTTGAAGAACTCATGTTTCAAACACAGTGTCAATTTACCAAGTATAAGGAGCAGAGGGATAAATTTTGAAAACTAAAGTACATGAAAATAGTAGGTGAAAACAAAATAAGATGCACTTCATTCTTGAGGCAAAGAGTAGGGTAGGAACAATGGCTTTATTATTGGGAAGGAACAAAATTCTTCCTTCCAGGTGTCACAATTCAGGAAATGATAGTTTAGCCAACTCTTTTCTTGCCATGTGTTATTATAGGCTGCCAGTCTGCAACTGACCTTCCAGCTTTTCACTTTTTTTTTATCAAATTATACTGCTTGAGCAGAGCTGTAAATTTTATTTCTTTAGAATATCTTTTCCCCTAAATACTTCTACTATCCTGCACTAGTAGTATTATGTGAGAGGTTGTGGTCACAACATTAATTAAAAAAACCCACTGAAATACAGGACAGAGGAGTGAGATCTGGAATGACACCCTGGATTTTGACTGTCATGTGTCCAGTATTTCAGAACTGCTTTTCAGGGATTGATGAATACACGTAGACTGATATTAAAGTGATGCAAGCATAACTGAAGAATGTATATAAAATGCAGTGGTGTAACATCAGCTGAAGCATGAGATGCCTATTATGTGAAAAGCAGCTTAAATGTTTGACAAAACATTTTTTGTTTATGAAAGTTTCATGTGGCACATAATCAGTTTTAAGATGGCAAATACACACTAATATTGTCTCTTAAAGCTAATCAGAGATCATTTGTATATTATTTAGGCTGATGTGGTCAAAGTAATTTCTCACTGAAAAATGTATATTCCACATCAAAGTCCATGCTGTTGACTGTTATAAGAAAAGCTACAGTTTGAGCAAAGAAAATAGTGTACATGAGATGACTTTAGGGTCAGACTATCTTTGGAACTTCAGTGATGGTGATGTGCTTTAACAAGCCTTTACTACACAGCTCTGTTATATTTTCTGTTTTACCTTTGCAATTCTATGGAAGCTGATACAGTAGCTCATGGAGGAAGACTTCTCGGTCTGATATTGTTGAGACTGATTCAGTTCGGTTTGATCTGCAGCAATGGGAAACCTTTGTGAAAATATATGTTTAAATAAATTTCAGTCTTTCTGAGCTTTATATTAGTATACCCAAGAAAGTGTTTAGTACTGTGCTGTTGCCTTTTATATGACTTGTTAAAAGGTGGGTTCTGGTCACTTGTGATCAGAAATCAAGACCAGACATATATATATATATATATTTTAATTCTCATGATAAATGCTTTTCATGATGACGGTAGATCAGGTAGGAATCACTTGCTTTATTCACTTACTCATTGGAGAATGAGTGTTAATAAATATTAGGTAAATTTTAGGTGTGTTCTGACTGATTGGTGTCATGCTTCAGCACTGCCACATGACCACAATTTCAGCTGAATATTTCTATACTAGTATTCAGTAAATGTCACGTTAGGAGAATATATCATTTCATCTGTCTCCAGGAATGACAAGTGAATGTACTGGGTACCTGTTATTAATGCTTTTGATTAATACTCATGGAAAAGTTTTAAAACTTTTTGATTTCTGTTTCAGCTCTCAAAAATAAGAGCTTGTAATTTATGAAATGGTGGAGAAAAATCTTCACAGAAAAAAAGCACCTCTTTCTTCCCTAAAACAACGTACCATTTTTCATTATTCAGAAAAGCTGAAATGAATTTTAGTATCATCTTGCATGCACTCGTATCGTTTCATGAACAAAGTTGATCCGCAAAATACTAGCACTAAGGGTAATGTTTTTGGAAATTCATGAGCGTATGGAAAAAGGAAGAAATGGGGAGAGAAAAATTCATCATACAAATGAAAAAAAGCAAAGCAAAACCACTTTCCTGTAAAATGCAGTGTACTCTGCAAGCTTTATGAAAGTGAAAGTTAGCTTTTTGTATAGCATCATTTCATTAAGTACTACTACTGCTTTAGCATAAGTATTTTAATGAAACCTGGCCTACGTGACCAGGATTTTGATGCTACTTCAGGTATGCAGACTAATATTTTTTTTAAATTTACAAATACACTTTTTGTAACCAAAAAAAATTATATTTACTTTCTTGATAGCTGTTCTGCTGTAGAAAGTAAAACAAGTATCATCTTGAAGTAGAAAATGTTTGATATTTGAAGATACAGAAAAAGGGATTATATTGTGCAGACAAAATATTTAATTTCTTTGCAGCATTTTTAGTCTGCAAAATATTTCTAATGACTGGAGGAACAAAAGGGTTAAGAAATCACTTAAGTGCTTCATTTTCATTCCAAATAGGATTGCTATACTGTTTTTAAAATAATTTGGCTTCTGATAGGTGTGCAGTTTTAAACATTGTTTGACAAGTGCTGGTCTGTTTTATTTCCCTAGCTTCTCCATAAGGGTGGCTTTCTCAGAATGCTGCAGTTCTAACTCTTTTCTTCAAGTGCTTAGTCTGGATACACACGAAGAATGGACAGATTTATGAATTTCACAGCTGTTGCAAGCTAAACTGTAGTCTGGTTTGATAAGCAGAAACAGGTGGGATGTTGAGTAGACAAAAATAAACCCTTGAGCATGTTAGCCAGGCTCTATAAACCACACTGACACCTTTCTAAACATATGTAATTTGATAACTAAAAAACAGTTAAAAGTTCTTACAGATGTACTTTAAAGGCACATTTGGCCTCTGCATTGCTATCAAAATACAGCGAATGGTCAAAGGAGTACTTTCATTGCAGCAGACTTGCAGTTTGCAAGATGTTTTTGTAGTTTGTTCCAAAGAGAAATTTTGTAAGCTGCAAACTTCCCCTGGAAGGTATGTGTGTGACTTCCATTAACATTTACGGGCATTGCATGCCTACTGAAAGGGTGAACAGAGCCCAGATATTTATGGCTTAATGTTAGAATTCTTTTTGCACACTGAAATGTGGTATAACTGGCACAAGAGGGAGCCATATAGTTTACAGACATTCACAGTGAGATTATGTTTCTAAAGAAAATACAACCAAATTTGAACCTTTTTTAAAAGAATATGCAGTGATCTTCATGTTTGATTTTCAGTTGCATCTGCATGCCTGTTTGTAGTCTACTACAGAGAAGTTTCTGTAAATCAAAACAAGACATCAAACATCTCTTAGAGAAGGTGGAAGTGCCTGAACTACATTTTGGACACTATAGGTCCGAAGTAGTGTTGTATCTTTTCCCCAGGTATAGTAAAGGCTATTACCTACCTTACTAAAAGACAATTTTATGATAATTTTAGTTAACTTTTAAAACCTTTGAAGTGGTAGGTCTGAAACTAGCAGAACTTATCATCTAGCCATAGCTTTTGCCATGGTAGCCTGCTGTATGCATTCACTTACACTCCATGTGTAAGTTGTATCTGTATATAGCTGCCTCACATGCTGGAAAAAGGGGCAGTTTTTCAGGACTGTCTAGGATGACAGTTTGGCATTGATTTGGACAGTGGTTTTAGCCTGTAGTTTCTGGACCACTGAGGGACTGCTGATTTTTCTAAAGGGCACCAGCAAGCTAGCTGTCTATAAAAAACCCAATATGAGTGACATTGCTGTGGGCATCTGCTATAGGCTGCCTGATCAGGAGGGAGGAGGGAGTGAATGAGGCCTTCTACAGACAGCTAGAAATAGCCTCACATTTGCAGGCCCTGGTCCTCATGGAGGACTTCAACCACCCTTATATCTATTAAAGGGACCACACAGCAAGCTATAAGCAATCCAGATTTGTGGAGAACAATGACAACTCACCCAAGCAATAGAGGAGCCAATGAGGAGAGGTGCTGCTTGCATTCATGGAACTCATACTTACAAACAAGGAAGGGTTTGTTGGGTTGAAGACAGCCTTGCCTGCAGTGACCATGCGATAGATGGTGGACTTCAG